GGCTGATAATGACGTATCACTGTGACCTCATCAGTTGTCACAAATGCACTACTCTAATGGGGCTGCTGCTAATGAGCAGACGACCCATGGACTAGGGAGCACAGGGAAATCTCTCTACCTTGCTCTCAGTTTTGCTGTGAACATAACAGTACTCCAAAAAAATAAGGCTACTAGAAAAGTAAAGACATGGCAAAGTAAGTTCAGTACTTTATTTTTTCTATTATACCAGTGCGTGAAGTATGATAAAATATGGTGAATGGTAAAATGTTTGAAAAGACACATTGCCATCAATATCCCTCCAAACACACCCCGCCACACATACACTTCAGACATACTTATCTCAACGTTTTTGTCACCTTCTGAAGCAGTTCTGGGAACCCTGTTTTGTGTCTTACTTGCACCTCCACTGCTGCCTTGATGCCTGAATTGCTAAAAAATGTTTACTTTTCATAGTCATTTTGACTATGAGGAAGAACCAGAAGTTACACAGTGATAGATCTGGTGAATAAGGTGGATGAGGACATTGTAATGTTTTTATTTGACGGAGACTATAGCACAGGTTTGATTAATGGGAGGTGATCACACACTATGGGTGAATGTTTAAATTAAAATGTATTACATTGAAAGACACATTGTCATTAATTTCCTTCAGTATACTCAGAATACGCCTCCTCTCTTCAGTACATTTATTCTGTCACTCTTTGCAACATGTCTTTTACTGCAAGAAGTTTTAAAAAATGTAAACAGGCACCAGATCTTTCAATGGTTCCTTGTATTTTGTAGGTATAGCTTCATTTGCAGATTAAAGTCAAATTACCAATGTAAAGCTCTTCTGAAGTGTGCAAATGTTAGTTTTCTAGTTTTGTCACAACAAATTACTACAAACGCCGTGGCTTAAAACACAAACATTATTTACAGTGCTGGATATCAGATGGCAGAAAAAGGCAGACTTGTTGAGGACTGTCGAGAGGCAGGACTATATTCTTCTGGAAACTCTAGAAGAATCTATTTCTTTGCTTTTTCCAGTTGTAGAAGTTGCTCACATCCCTTCTCAGAACTCTGCATCACTTTCACCATTCTCTAACTTTAATCTCCTCATAAGGACTCTTGTGAGTAGGTCGGGCCCACTAGAGAATCCAGTCATCTCAATGTCTGTATCTTAAATCATATTTGCAGTGTCTTTTTAAGTAATGCAACAACATATTGATAGGTTTTGGGGACTAGAACATGGGCATCTTAGGAGAGCTATTATTTTGCACACCACAGAAGCCCACAACAAAAATCATTCCAAGAACTTTGTCACGTTACATGCTTCTCTTTGAAATATAGTTGGGATTTATTTTTTACTGGAAATACTGGGGATTGAACCAAGGGCCTCAGAATAGGGCTACATTACCAGCTCTTTTCAAACATCTTTAGAGAAAGCATCTGGCTAAGATATGAAGTTGTCCAAACTGGGTTTGAACTTGTGATCCTCCTGGCTCAGCCTCCCAGAGTGGTGATTACAGACTGGTACTACCATGCCCTGTTTAGGATCTTTTTCTGAACCCTTCAGCTGATACCATAGAACAGTTTTACCAATAGGTTTTAGCAGATCTCATTTTCTAGGATCTGTATCTTTAAAGGATGAATATACAGATTTTCTCATAATATGGCTGCTATAACCTAGTATTAAGTAGCAGAAAATCACCTCTTTTGTCCAAAATATGCATCATATGGATCTTCCTGTATCTCTAAAACAAAGATGAGTAAAAAAAAAGTCCCTTCTTGATGAGGTACAAATGGCAAATACATGAAAAACTGTTCAACAGCACTGGTCATTTGAGAGATGCAAATTAGAACAATGCTGAGATTCTGTTTCTCTCCAGAAAGAATGGCTAGTATCAACAAATTAACCAATAACCAATGCTAAACAGGATAAAGGGAAAAAGGAACCCTTCTCCTCTGTTGGGAGTATAGACTGGTACTCCTCTGTTGAGGGTATAGAATGGTACCACCATTGTGGAAATCAGTATGAGATTCCTCAAAAAAAGTAGGACTAGAGGTTCCATCTGACCCATCTCTCTTCTTGGTACCTTCCCAAAAGAATTAAAAGCATCACACTGCAGCCATATATGCACAGCCATGTTTATAGCAGTGTGCAATACTTAAATCTTGGAAACAACTCAAATGCCCATCAAAGAATGGATAAAAAAGATGTGGGTTTTATTTTTTTAATAAAAAGGAGTAGCACTTGGCCATAAAGGATAAATGTGAGACGGTTATAGCTAAATGAATGGATCATGAGGTCATAGTCTTAAATGAAGTAAATTGGGCACATATGTGTAAATATTGTGTTGTCTCTCTAGTGTGAGACACTAAAAGTGTAAATAAGAACCAAAATGTATAATACATATTGTAAAATAGGAAGTAATTGCTCAAAAGGAAAGGGAAATTGTGGCAGGGTAGAAGGGAAAAGAGAAATGAGCGAGAAAAAAGGATAAAAATGGAAACAAATTTTTGTAAATGAGGGGGGAAAAGGAGGAACTAAGATATATCATGTACAGGTAAAAATTTCCTATGGTGAACATGATCACTATGTCTATTTAAATTGTACCAAGAATTAATCATTTATTTGTACCACTTTCTCCCTCATATATTTGCTTATTACTTATACTTTTATAAAATTGTAGCAGTTACTCTAGAAAAACATTTTTTTTAGGGAAAGGTCTAAATTTTTGAGTTCTTTACAAATTCCTGATACCAGCCCCTTATCTGTCTGAGGAGCAGCTGGCAAATTTTGCTCCCATTCTGCAGACTGTCTCTTCCTTTGCTGTGCAGCAGGTTACACCTGCCGGATATTCTGGCTTCAGTGGGAGAATGGAGCCAGTTGCATAGAGAAGTTGGATGGTTTCAGAGCAAAGGGGCAGGATGGGACCTGCGATCTGAACTGTGGCAGTGATGGTGCTGGCTGGACCCAGTGGGAGGCCAGAGTGACTCAGGAGGTTGTCGTAACATAAATAAATGAATAAAGTTTTTTAAAAAAGAAATCTGTTCCTAAAATGTTCCTTTGTATGTTATACACATGAACATTGTAGTCCGTACTTATGCTCATTATAGTTGATCCATCAGACATTGTTCATACACAGAATGTAAGATCCACGCATTCATAGTGAACAAACCTAAATTAATAAATTTATTCTAAGAACAAAACTCAAACAACAAAATAAGGTTCTGGTTAAAATTTGTCAAGGTTTGATCCTATAGCAATTAGTTAAATAAGATTGTTATTACTATGTTTTTTGTATGCACTAAATGAAGAAAAGGAAAACTAGGTTTATTGTTACTAGGTTTAGATGAAAAAGTGAAGTTAAAGATTAATATTAATGGAACCAGGAATTTTCCTTTCTGCTCTCGTAGACTCAGGTATTCAGTCACTCACCCAGTTAAACAGATATTCCCTGAAAGCGCAGTACAGACCAGATACAGGTGTGATCGGGGTGCTACAGTCCAGTCATAAATTTGTTTGCTTTAATTGCTGCCTCAGCAGTGTTTTAGTTTCCTGGAAACACAGCTGCACCTCATCACTTTTCGGTCCCTTCCTTGTATATTTGCAACATAACCCACTTGTCCCCCATTCTTCAAATTCAAACTCCAACAAATACACAGCTGCTGACCTTGATAAAGGCTAACGGCTCACAGAATCATATAAATTCTCTCCTTGCATGGGTTTTAAACAACTAACCAACCCCTAACCACCACGGAAAGACCAAATTCTCACAAACCCTAATAAAGGCATGGTGCCACAGCTTGTGTCTCTCCTGCTGTGTACCTGCTAGTTGAGACCCTTGGTGTCTCCAGACTTTCTGTTGGGTCTTTGGCATTTTATCTTCCTTCTCTGGAAGATCTGTAAGTGATAAAATCCTTTGGGTACTTTTGTTGTGCTACCCACTGTAGTATCTCACTTGTCCAGTTACAAGTCAAAATTTAACTCCCGCCCACCACACACCTCTCTTGGAGTGTGGCTTTCTTGGCTTTTTATGGAAACTCTCAGGAGCATCAAGACCAAGTTGGAAGGAAACTGTTACATAAAAGTCTTAAGAATACTCTGAAGTCTTCTTCTCATCTAAATCAGTAAGTAGTGTGACAAACTTCAACTAGCACAGGAGATAACCTTTGGTCATAATGAAAATAATAAAAACCAAAACTGTTTTCTAGTACTGAGCAAAGAGGAGAAGAACAGGACGTTTTTAATTTCATTGCTTTAACCTGGCAAAATGGATAGAAATGATAAAAAAAATGGTATATTGATAATAATTTCAATATTATCAATTCTTTATGAATCCCTCATATTAGCTATTGGTGGGTGAAGATAGATCACCATGAACTAGCAAATAATTACCTATACTTTATCATTAATTATTCAGAAATTATTCAGAAATTCATTTAATAAATATGAAGCCTCTGCTGCATTCCAGGAGCTGGATACAGGGTATGCCCTCACTCTGCCTCCAAAGGAAAAAAACAAACCTTGTTCAAATGTGGTTTACATTCCAGGACCCAACACAATCGTGGTCTGGCACTTCAGATGCCTCATTATATTTTCCTGGTAACACCACCAAGCCAAGAGGACAGTACTAAATAAGGGCAAGATATGCTTTGGGCCTGGAGCTCCTCAACTCTGGTATAGGAACTTCTGCTTTGCCATGAGTGGAACAGACTTCTGTGAGATAAACATTCTGCCCCAGCCCCACCCCGACCATTGTCTTGGGGGTTAAAGGAGACCTATGTGTTGATCATTCAGCAATTCATATTACTGCTTTGGTTCTGTGTTCCAGAAAAAAAGTGCCAGCTCCTTAGAATGGTCTAATGGATCTTTAGACTCCAAAGGCCAGACCACACACCAGACCAACTAAATCCCAGTCTTTGTGGAATAGCTGGTTCCGATGCGCAGACAAACCTGGGAACCAGATCTGCAGTTTGGATTATTGTGGTTTCATGACATTTGCCTGTCTTTAGCCCAGTGGAACCTAGAAGCCTCAGAATTTAATGAAATTTGGAGAATTGAGGTGCACACAAGCTCTGGGTCCCGCACTGTGACTTGAAGCCACTTTCCCTCCACGTGTTGGAGCGGGACCGAGTCCCAGCTGACCTCTGCGACGCGCACCGCCCGGGGCAGGACCCTCCGACGGGAGGACGAGCGCCTGCACGCCTGCGGCCTCCCGGTGGCGCTGGGCCCGGGCAGTCGCGGCGGGGTCGCCGGGGCAGGGGTCGCCTTCCGCCCGCCCGTCCGCCGCGCGCTCCCCCGGTGTCCCGTCTGCCGCGCGCCCCGGGCCGCCATGGAGCGGGCAGTGCTCGGCCGCGCAGGGCCCGCGGAGCCGGGGCCTTTCCTGAGCAGCGCGCGCGGCCCCGAGCCGCCGGGCTCGGCTTCCTCCGCCTGCGCGCTCGCGGTGGCCGCCGTGCTGCCGGCGGGGGGCTGCGGGGAGCGCATGGGCGTCGCCACCCCGAAGCAGTTCTGCCCGGTCCTGGAGCGGCCGCTCATCAGCTACACCCTGCAGGCCCTGGAGAGGTAACGCCCGGCGCCGCGTCCCTGCCCGCCCCGCCAGCCCCTCGGGGACCCCCGCGCTGGCCTCTTAACAGACGGCGTTAACGGGAGCCTGAGCTGCCCACAGAGCCCGCTGTGTGTGCAAGCAGACTACGGGGCAGGGAAGTCCGGCCGCGAAGCTGGGCCCTGGAGGGGACGAGAGACTTTAGCTCCGGGCCTCCGGGAACAGCTCCTCCTGCAGCATGGCGCTTCCCGCCTCTGCGCAGGCGCGCACTGCGCCGTCCGGGTGTCAGGTCCAGTTCGCTGGGCGGCTGTCCCTTGACTGACAAATAAACGTTTCCCAGTGTGAGACAGACCGAGCCAGTCACCGGGCGCTGAAAAGGTGGAGACAGGAGTAGAATTTAATCCAAACCTTTCAGTAGTAGAAACGGATTTAAGGGTGAAATTGAGGCCAGTACACCCTTTATTGTTTTATAATAGAGGCTGGAGGTAACTAGTTCAAGACTCGTGGGAGGGAGAGGGAGAGGTGTCACAAGGACCAGGGTAAAAGTAGCTAGGAGGTGAAAGGGAGGAGCACGTGATTTTTCCTTTTTTCCTAACCCCCAATCAATGTAATGGGATGGGACCCAGGGGAGGCCGAGAGTAGCAGAATTATAGAGAGCACATTTTGCAGTGTGTTTAAAGTGCTTTTTCAAGCCCATAGGAAGCCGTGGTGGTCACTTAACCTGGGCTACAGCCATCTTTTTACCTTAGAAGATAGTGGCCTTTGCAGGAAGGAGGCTTTTGGGGAACCACTGCACTGGGCATGCTGTCCAACAAGGCGCAATTTCCTCCCCTCCCCCGCCCCCACTACCCTCACACCAGAAGCCAAAAGGCAAAAATTATTTCTTAAAAGTTCATTTTACTTTCTGAATATTGCCGTTTGGAAGATAAAAGTGTAAAGAGCCATAATCATTCTTGAAAGAATGTAATCAGCCCCGTGGTTAATCTGCAACGAGTACAGACTTTGAAACTGTTCCAGTTACTGTCAGTCTTCTGTTTTCTGGGTAGTGACTCTGGAGAGCAGTCTCTGAGACTGTAGTAATCAATCACACCTACAGTGTTCTAGTGCCACAGACATGGTGACAGCTTAGTTCATACGTGCAGGTAATTCTACGGGCCATAATGGATCTTGGCCAGCAGGATCTTTCTCTGACTGGTTATTAGATGAGGAGGGGATATTAGTCATTTTTACATTTAACATTCCTTCCCTTGGAAAAAGTTTTGTATTAATTTGTATTTTTGCATCTTCTAAAGCCATCTGAGGTAAGGAGACTAAAAATTAAATCTTTGAAAATAAAAGAATGTTTGGAAAGGTCTTGTTTATGGAAAAGGAGGCAAAAGAACACTTGTTTTCCATTTTCACTTAATTGACAACAGCAGCCATGAAATCCTAACTAATAGGCTTGTAGCACAGAAATGTGATTTCTAACAGGTTATAACTTAACTTCCCTTTGTCATTTTATTGAGGAGGAACGGGGATCAGGAATATTTGTCCATTAGTAGCTACTGGTTTGTGACCTGAATTTGCACAAGGAAAGGAACATGATTGCTCCAAGAAATCATGTGACAGTGGCCTTATTGGCAGGGATATAAAACTCAACTCCCACTGTAAAATGCACTCAGTTGATCAAACTCACGTACCTATATTTCACTGTTTAGGAATATCTGTTTCTTGGATATGAAGTAGGAAGTTGTTGTGGCCTTCACATCCATCGATGAGAGTCCCCTTGTGCAGCAGGAGAATTTTGACAAGAGAGTGTGTGCCCTGAATCCCCTGGCAATAGGGCTGCATGGGGTTGCAAAGAAACAAGCATTAAACACCGGACTGATCACTCTTCTGGGCACCAACCTAACCCTAAGCCATCTGAGCATCTTTATCAGCACCTAGAATGGCCAAGGTCATGGGCTAAAACTTTGCAGGGAAAACCTGCAGCTGGCTGGGTCACAGGATCATCACAGCACTTTGTTTTAGTCAGGACACAAAGAGTGAATGGGGGTGGGCAGGAGAGGGCAATCCAGAGACCTTGTAGATTAAAGATTCCTGCCAGCAGTGTGCTTTCTGGCTTCACATCTGTAAGGAAAGCAGATGTCATTTAGGAGGGTTGATTAGCCCAGACTTGCTGCAAAGTAACAAGATGACAGGGACTGTATGTCAGGCACAAATGAGAGATGCTTATTCAGTGTTCTGGGCTGGGAATACCTAACTGTAGACCTGAGCAGACTTTCCCGTATTTTCTGAGATTTCCTGAGTTCTCTTACATGGAGGATCTTGCTTAAGATAACATGATCCTTGATGTGATTCGTGCTTATCAAAAGCTATTATAATTTGGCCTTCTGTCTGAATCTACAGGAAAAAGGTGGGCCCTGTTACTGGTAGGAAGCATTCCAGACCTTGTGACACTAATGTCTGCCACTATATATTACTATATTATATCGTATCGATCCATAGTTCAGGCTTTTTAGTTTGACTAGAATGAATTGGTCATGATATAACAATGCACAGTAAATTTTAAAAAGTTAGTTTTGTACAGCTGCATGTGTGTAGATAAGGGACATGCAGTCTTGTGAGTGAGATTTGGTTGCTATCTTGTCTTACTGTTGATTAGTTACCAAATTATAAGGGGTGTTTGTGTGTGGTGTATGTATGTGTGTGTGTGTTTCCCAAGGTATGTTTTTCAGTGTTTTAACACATAGTTTATTTAATATACTGCTTTCTCTTGTTTTCAGTTTTTTTCTCTTGTACTTTAAAAATTATTCTGCCCTATATTTCCTATCCAAATTCTACTGAGCAAGATAAGATACAAATAAATACATGAATATTTGCTCAAATGAGCAATATTGGAATATGACTTAAGCTGAGAAAGTGGGAATGCAGTGAAGGATAGAGGAGAAATATTTAGGAAATAGCACCAGAGGTTCTCAGTGATTAACAGAATTCAGAAAGAGAAAGGTGTGGAAAACGCTTTTAGTTGAGTGGTCAGATACTTGAATTTGACTTCAGGACTCTTGACGAATAGGGTCAAGTCTGAGTCAAAGAAAGAACGGAGAGCTGCTGTATTTTGTGTGGATCATGTGATCAGAAGTTTATGCAGAATTTCCCAAGGCCCCTATGGGACTGGTTCAGAACAAGACCAAGACTAAGTAGTAGGCTGAGTCTTGATGAAAACTGGAAGTCTTCAGGGGCCGTAGTAAAGACATTTTGCTATTGTGAAGGCATCAGGAACCAGCCCATCACACCAGTTAAGTATTTGGCTGCTTAAAAAGCAGGGCAGATATGGAGAGATGGAAACTCACAGATAGTGGCCACAGTGCAGTTCAGAAGCCAAGTTTCCATGAAGGCTGTCAGGAACCAATAGCTGTCACTTTCTGTTGGAGGCCAGATGTCTGCAGGCTGGATGAAAGTGCTTTAGAGTTGTTAATAGGGCTTGATGTTCCTATGCTTTTTCTTTTTTTTTTTTAAGCATTTAAAAAATGTTTTCTATTGATCTTATTAAACTGTCCAGACAGGATTTGCTTGTAAGTAGTAGTATTTCAGAAGAAAATCACTTCCGAGATATTACATTTCTTCTTCAAAATGTCTGTAGGTGTTACAAGCTTGGGGCTTGGTTTATATTTGCCTGTGGAATGTGCTAGGAAGGAAATAATCAGTAGAACGTGATAGGATCAAGTTGCTGGGGTTTTGGTGTGGACTTGCCTTCAGCTAAGAGGTAGACGAGATGTCTTTATTCAGCAAATATTTGCTCAGTAGACGCTGTGTGAGGTACTTAGGCCCTTCTCAGTCCCATGACTTTATATTATTAAAAGCTTTTTACAGTATTAAAATTTAATTCTATAACTAGAAAAGAATGTGAATAAATCCTTTGAAATACAAACAGTGCTTATAAAGGCTTGCAAGCACTGGGTGTATCCTGGGTTGCCGAACGAAATAGCATAAGCCCGTTATCTTTTGAGTAGCTTGAAACGAGGTATTTTGGACTTTGTCCCTCGTTATGTACTTATGTGCTATGCATTTTAATTTTTCTACTCTGTTTCATTTGTCCAACACTGTTGGTTTTAACTTATGAATTGATTTCTCTATAAACTAATGGTTTCTTGAAATTTACAGTTTGTGATACAAACTGTGTTATTATATTGAGACTCTCATGAAATTGAAAGGTATCTGTGTTTATATCTACTGTGACTATTTTGTTTTTGGAACGCAGAAAGTTGTTTTATAGTTATGATAAGGCATTTTAGTAGAATTGGGAGCAAATGCATCAATGTACTGAAGGTATTTGTAATAGCCTTTTGTTTTTCTTCCTCTTTTAAATTTTAATACTTAATTCAATTTATTTTTTTCATTAGAAGTAACAAAGTGATCACTATAAAAGTTGTTCTTAACAGACTTCTCTGGTGGGCTATGTTATGGAAAGTAACACAGGTGAATGTTTGCAGGCAAAAATTGCCTTATGGGAAAATCTTACCACTGATTTGGTTAAATGTGTATTATAACTCCTGTGTGACAATGTGAGGTCACATTAAATAATCGACATAGATAAGTTGCTTTTAATAATTTGTTATAAATTAAAAGCATTTTTTTTTTTTTTTTTTGGTACTGGGGATTGAACTCATGACCTTGTGTTTGCCATGCAGGCATTTATGCCGCTGAGCTAAACCCCCGGCCCGATTAAAAGCAGTTTTATACTTAATTTTGGAGAATTTTTAAATTTATTTAACAGCTATTTATCAACATATAGTCTTTCATGTACAGAATTCTGTCAGTTTTGTTTCTTACTCTGTAACTAGCATCTGGCTTAATACTTATTTACTTAGTGAATATATGGGTGGAGGATTGTCTACATTTTCTGGAGTTATTAGAAATCATAAGAAATTCGAGTATTTCATTATAAAAGCAGCAGTGCCATATAATTCAGCCCTGGAAACATAAATGAAGTGCCTGAAACAAAATAAAATAATCTGGAATAAAAAGACAAAAAAAAAATCTGGAATAGTCATTTCTATCCTGGTTGTTAATGCTCTTCCTCTGTGTTTTAGCTACTTTTCTTTTATAGCTGGGACAAAATATCCAACATCTAGAATGAAGGAAGGAAAAGTTTATTTAGATCATAGTTTGTGGAGGTTTTAGTCCATAATCAGCTGGCTCAAAAAAGACAGCAAAATAAGAGCAAAATGTGGGTATGTGGGGAACAAGCCTCTTTTCTTCTCTTATGTTGTAATCAGGTCACCAGCACTGGGGTAGGTACATCACTCACATATCTCCTGCCCTTCTCTTGCACAGCTGAGGATGTTTACAAAGTAAGGACCCTGACCCCCTGCAGAGTTACTTAAATTTATAAACTTCTCAAATTGACACAGTGAATCAACCATTACAACATTCTGGACTGTAAAGAGCTGCCCTAGGGCATGTCCTCTACACCCTAGGATTTAGAATTCCTGAGTTACTTGATTGAGCTTCTAAACTTTCTATACTGACACAATGTATGAACAGTTATACTCTGTGATACTGTTAGTGTATTTGCATAGTAAAGCTGTGAGCTCAAAATCAGATTGACATTATAACCCAGGCCCTTCATGATCTAGGCATGGGTAGGTCATTGTCACTGTGTCCTCATCTATATAACTGAGATGATACTGATTTATCTCACAGAGCTAATAGTGCCATCCAATGAGAAGTTGCTGGGAAAATGCTCTACAGAATCCGCGCAGCTAGCCTAAATTCCATATTTCTTGCTGTTCTTTTTACTATTAATGTTTCTGAAAGTTATGCATGTGCCAAGTTCTGGGGGGGGTAGCTTTGAACTCTGAGTTGGCAGCCTAGGGAGACAGATAGAAAATGACAAATGCTGTACAGTGCACTACGATGCTTATTATTCCCCTGGAGGTGGATCTCCTGGAAACTGGGAGGAGATAGAGGGGCAGTCATGGAGGGCTTCCACAAGGGGGCTTTGTTTGAGTGGGACTAAAACAGGAGTGGGTGGCACTCAGGAGAGGGGGATAGAGGCAGTGTTGAGTCCAAGAAAGCCGCACACAACCCTGCATAGGGGAGAATGCGATTCCCTCTCTCAGGAGACCAGGTCAGTGTGTGGGAAGTAGGGTCCAGCTAGGTCTCCCAGGGCCTTGCTCCAGAGCCAGCAGGGCGTGACCTCAGAATTTGCACTTGAGGAAAGTGGCAAGAAAGGATTATGACAGGATGAACAGACAGCAAAGAGACTGACTGGCTGAGTTATGGGAGAGGTAGAGTTGTGAGAGAATGGTGGGCCGTAGTTGTGGCAGTGAAGCCAGAGCCTTGGGAAACCTCACGTGGACAAGGGACCACAGGACGGTTACTTCCTACTTGCGAAAGGCTTTGTGAGCAATAGAATGCAGTGCATACTCCAGAATTGTTAAATGTGCATGCACGGACTGCAAAAAAGTACAGGCAGTTCTTTGGCATTCTGTGTTATTTCATTTTCTGAATTTGTTATTAAAATTTTGTAGAGATGTCCAACAAAGTATAAAAAGAAACCTGCATCAAGAACCTTAGAACCTAGAAATCAGTACAGTCCAATATCTACAAATAGTAACAGGCTATAAAACCGTACTACCTCTGGGCATGCTGATGCACGCCTGTCATTCCAGTGCTGTAGGAGCCTGACGCAGGAAGAGGAGTTTGAGCTCAGCCTGGGCAACTTAGTGACATAGTGAGATGCTGTCTCAAAATAAAAAAAAAAAAAAAAAAAAAAAAAAAGAAAGAAAGAAAGAAAAAAGAAAAAAACGGGCTGAAAATTTAGTTCAGTGCACAGATCCTGGGTTCAATCCCCATTACAGCAAAAACAGAACAAAACAGGATGAAACAAAACACAGCTGCATAGGAAAGGCTAATTTGTGCTCTTTGTTTTGTTTTTTGTTTGTCAGAGTAATAAGGAACACATTTTGTTTTCATCCTCTTTGAGTCTGTGGTGCTTGGTAAGATGTTACACTGCTCCTGGTCATTTATTCAGTCAACATGTATTTATTGGGCACCTACTATAAATTAGGTGTAAGGCAATGGAAAACAGATCAGCTTTGCTGTCAGGAAGTGATGTTCGGAGACTACAGAAGCAGAATGTTTTGTTGTTTTAATGAAAAATGGTATTTTTTTATCCAATTTCAAGTCCTTTTTGGAATGAAATGATAATATAGAGATCTTTAATGTATTTGTATATTCATATCTTTCTGACTTGTTTCTTGCACTTTTATAAGGCAGTATAAAAGTGTTACTGTGAAGATTATATGAGGTAAAATAGTCAGATTGTGATTTTTTTCTAGTAATTATTTTATATTATGTGATAGTTGACTTAGTTTCAAGACTTAGCTGGTCTAACATGAGGATCCAGGGTCTCACAGGCTAAAAATTCCGTTACATTTTTAAGGCACATTCATTTAAAGGTGATGTGAGCCGTCAGAGGCAATTGTCTTGGTGTGGAGTTTCTGACTGTGAAACATTGAACCTTCAATGACCCTTGGTTCTGGGGACAGCAGACTTCTTTAATTCAGTAGCCACTTACTGATCTGGACTATTTGCAATGTGGTGGGTCAGTAGATCTTTCTTGAGCAAAATGTATACAAAAGAAGAAAATAATTCTACTGACTTATTTATATATAACTGATTATTATAGAATCCCCACTCAAACTACACATTTAATCTTGGTTAGGCAAGATTTGTATAGAGATGGTTTATGTAGCTTTGATATTTGAGTGGTGAGTTGCCAGCCCAGTGGACCTCTTGAAAAAATGCTGACTCTTAGAATTAAAAATTACTTCGACCCCAGTGAAAGGGGAAAAGTATTAGGAAAAACTTAAAAACGTATTCGACTTCTCTTTTCTCTCAGTCTACTGATACAATGGTTATTCAAATTTAAGTTAAAAAACTCCTCATATAACTGGTTAGTAGTATACTGTGTTCTTTATATACCTTATGGGGTACCCTGCACTACGTCCAATGCAAAATGATCTCTGCAGTGCGACACGTTCTTTTTTTCTGTAGATCTCTTTACTGGACCTATTAAAAATGCATAGACCTTCTTTAGTTATTAGCTTTCAGTTTATAATTTCTCTATGTAAATAACCATGATACATAGTAGTACTGTAATTTAATTTTGTAATTAGCTTGCCTGTCTAAGGATTCATATATATGAAATGTGTATGTACTTTGCTTTTAGAGTATGTTGGATAAAGGACATTGTTGTGGCAGTAACTAGAGAGAACATAGAAGCAATGAGAAGTATCATTCAGAAGTATCAACATAAAGGCATCTCACTGGTGGAGGCAGGAGTGACTCGCCACAGGTCCATTTTCAGTGGACTGAAAGCACTGGCAGGGGACCAGCCTGGCTCCAGACTCTCCAAGCCCGAAGTTGTGATTATCCATGATGCCGTGAGACCATTTTTTGAGGAGGATGACCTCCTCAAAGTTGTCAAAGCTGCTAAGGAACATGGGGTAAGTACTTTTACTCCTGAGAGTAAGGAACAAGGGGCAAACACTGGTAGTTTAGTTTGTTGAGTTCTGATAGGAATGTATTTAAATATCATTATTTAAAGTGAGCGTGATGACCTGAAGACATTATGGTAAGTGTTTTAGGAATTGCATAGTATTGTAGATTATGAGACTGGTCTAGAATTGCCTTTGCTATGATCATTTATCATAAGGTAATAGGAGCTATTTGAAGAAGAATGTACTAATGATTTCAGAGTGTGGATTGAAGTGGAACATCAATGAATGAAATTAAATAAGCAGTTATAGTAAAAGGGCTGGAAAAGTCTTTCAGAAGTGCAGCATACACGAAACTAATAACGAAAAAGTCCATTGAACTTAGTTTTGAATTTTTGAAAGTGGTCTGTCTTCTAGTACAAATAGCGATACAAGAGTTTTGCACCCTTTCAACTAAATCATCCTGAGATAACAAGATTTGTTTCTCTTTCTGTTTCACCAGAATGAATATCGGGATCACAAGTCACCTACTGTAATCACTGGAGTACTCTGTTCTTTTCTTTCTATTACCAGTTGAAATTTTATAAATGTGGTAATACTAAATTTATAGTCTGAGCTTGAAACTTAGTGGAAAAATTTGTTGCACAGAAATGGTCTAGTATGTAGTACTAGACTGTGCATGTGGACAGACCCAACCCTGACTCTTTCGGTTTTTCTAATTACTAGTGGCTTGGTGTCTTCAGTCCTCTCCACATCTTTCTGCCTGTAAAAATACAAGTAGCAATACATGTAAGGTTATTTTTGCATTGGAAATTTATTTGGTAAAGTCATAAGAGACAAAAGAGGTTTCTTTGTCTTGCCATAATTAATATGCTCAGGATATCACTGTTTTATTTATGATTAATAAAGCACATTAAAATGTATAGCAGATACTTTTCTTAAGCGTTTGTGATAATTTCTAGTAGCATGTGTAATTTCCTCAAATTATGTTCTGATTAACAAATTTAAGATTAAATCACATTATTTTTCTTAAAACCAACAGATTGTACTTTAATGAAATCTGTGAAAATTTTTGCTTATACTTCAGAAACTTGTTCAGAAGTACAACTTTATGAACTATTTATTTTGAAGACAACTTCAGAAATATGGTTTGTTTTAAGGCTTTCCTTTAATGTTAAAGTATACTTTTCACAAATGGATAAAATCATCAGTCTTACATAAATACATGTAGTTACTTATTAAGAATTTTCTTTAATTCATTAACGAGGAAACTAGGCAGATGTTACAACTGGTTCAAAATTGAATCCAGAGAAATACAAACTTCTGTATAATAAAAAGGAATGCTGTCGTGAATGTGAAAACAGGAAAAACTAGGATTTCCGTGGAGGAGTCAATTGAATCTCCACCAGAGAGAATTTATTTGCATATTTATAGGAAGAAATTATTTTGTATTGCTTATTAACTATCTATAACTTTTAGAGTTGTGGAAGAGTTCAGGATCCACATCCGTCTAATCTGTAAGGGTCTTCTCTAAGCAATATATTTTTCCACTGGAGCCACTCAGTAAGCTCTTTTGTTTGTTCTGAATTTTCTTACAATGTTGGGGTAGTGTTCCCACTGCCTCGCTTAAATCCAGGCTGTCCTTCCTGCCAACTCTAACGCTGTTCTGACTTGTAATCACAAAAACATAAATGCAGTTGAGACTTAGACTAGTAGTTGAACTTCTTAAATTGATGGGAAGTATTGGCATGTTTTCAACCTGTCAACAGAAACCGTGGCAGAATGATCTGAGTCATGTGCTGCCCCATGGCATGAAAATTCTATTGACTGCCGAGAGCCACTTCAGACTGTCTCCCAAGGCTTCCTGTTAACTTTCCATTGTTCTCTTATGTAATATTCTACACACTCTAATTGATGCGTGTTCTTGCTCTGGCTTGCTAGCTTGTGCTCTTTCTTGCTCCCAATTTTCAAATTCTACCCAAAGGTCCCATTAAGACAACTTTTTTACTAAGTTACAGTGACTGGAGAGGGTTAGGATGGCTAGATATGCTGAAGATAATCTGGTATTTTCAGCTTATATTCTATTTTTGAGTTTTAAAATAATGAGCTGGTAAGAGTGGCATCGAGGTTGTCTGCACCCAGCTCAAAAGTGTCACCAGGCAAGACCCACTTTTTCTTCCCGTCCCCTGGAGACTCGATGGCTTCTTTCGGGCCAGTGGCTGAATTCTTTCAGGAATGCTTCTCTCTTTCTGTTGAGTTGCAGTGTAAAAGTCTACGATTTTTTTTCCTTCCTTGTTATTTTGGAAATTGGTTATGTCACCGTTTCCTGGCTTTTATGCTGCTTTTGAGAAGCCCTCTAATTTATACACTGTATCCCTTTGAAAGTAATCTGCCTTTTTTTTTTCCTTAATGCTTACGTTTTCTTTCTCATGGTTGTTTAGTGTCTGTGATGTGTCTAGACATGGATTTGTGTTTTTTCTCCTTGCTTTGGATTTACAGTCTTTCATGAACTTTGATTCATGTCTTTTTATTCTAGAACATTCGGAACTCCTATATGATTGAATTTTGATTTTTTGCACCATTTCTTATCCAAACAATTTTTTTTGCCCTCACCTTATGAGTTATTATATGTATGTTAGATCTTTTAATCCTCTTTTCATGTTTCTTGATTCTTCCACAATACCGTATTTTTGTATGCTGCATCTTGGCTCATCTGTTTTCTACTTCGTTCACTGTTTAACTGTGTCTAATGTTCTGTTTAAGGGTTTTCAACTTTTTAAATATTTTTCAATTCTTTGGAGTTTTTTAAGTGTTCTTTTTTTCAGATATGACTAGCCCTTCTGTTTTTGATTTTACATTTCTGTTTTTTAATATTTAAATTATACATTGTAGCTAATTATGTTTTTAGGCTTTTGTCCAAATTTTCATTTCTTTTCACATCTGCTGAGGATTTGTTTCCGCCTTTGCTTTATAATTTGAATTTTAAGCACATACTTGGCAGGACTTTATCAGGAAGAACCCTTTGCGTATGGGATAAGGGTTTGTCTGAAGCATGAATTTGTGTTCCTTCTGCCAGTGATTCCAAGCACTTCACCAACTTGGAACAACTTTATGTTAATCTTGGTTTGAGGTTTTGCAGATCCTATGGTAATGTTAAGTCAAACCGTAAATCTACCTGAAGCTAACCTGATCATTATAACTTCTCAAAAGCAACCATCCCTGTTCCTTAGACCCAGTGCCAAGACTGACAGTCCTGGTTTCCTGTCTTCCTGTGCGTGTGGGTTTTGTTTCTGGTTGTTTTTTTAAATGATAGCACCGTTCTTCATATTCCTCTTTTAACCGAGTAGCACAGACTTAAGGATTCTAGTTCCTCATTCTTTATCATGTGTTAAAAACAAACACAAAATTAGAGCCTCTTGTTATACCAAAGCAAATCTGACCATCTTAATTTCCTTTGTTTCTCGCTATTATGATGTTTGTTACTCCTAGGAAAGTTTGCTGTCTGTATTGTCCTACTTTTAAAAGGCAGTAACATAAAGTTATGTCTTGCATTTCTTGTTCCTTTTTTTTAAAACTGAAAACATTTTCCAAGATAGCGTCATTGCCACCTTGCCAAAAATGGTAGTATTTTCATCTTTCTAAGTATGAATTATTCATATTGTTCTGTATAATTATGTCAAGAGATGACTAGTAACATAGATTTCTTATAAGGGAAGTGATGATAAGAGTAAAGTAAATTAAAACATTGAAATGACCCAAAAGGTGAGTGAGAATCATTTTTATGACTAATGCACTATCATGTACCCTAAGAATTTCCCGTAATTGCATGAATTGAAAACGAGGTGGCATCAGCCAAGCAGACTTCTAAAGACTTGTTCTTAGGGGGAGATGCTTGATAAATTCCGTGTGCATCTTTCTTTCCTCAGCTATTTGCAGGTGTTATCATCTCCTTTCTATTTAACTTCTTTTTATAGTATTTTTATTTTTTTTAACTTTTTATCGGTACCGGGGATCGAACTCACGACTGCCTGCTTGCAAGGCAGGTGCTTATGCTGCTGAGCTAAATCCCCAGCCCCTCTATTTAACTTCTAACATTCTATCTCTGTTTCTGTACCCCAAGTTTATTCCTCAGTATATGGAATCCATTTTTTTCCTTTGTTCTTTGTTTTTTAACCTCTGAGTATTATTTTAAAATCTCCTGTGACTTCCTGATTTACAGGTTAAATTATTTTTGGGTCTGTTTCATAAAGAACTGTATTGGCCTTGGTTCTAGGTTCCTAGGAAGAAGAGTCTGAGTACTTGGAATTGTCCGAGGAATAGTAGAATTTTTGTTCTTCCCAAGCCCCTTGAATAACACCTAGAGTTTATTCTAGTGAGATAATGTGACTTGGGATGCACACTGATCTGGTAACCACTGCCACCACAGATAGCTTATAGGATGTTTGAGCACTCCAGAGAATTGTCTCTTGTGCTCTGTGCCTTCAGGCCCACCCCTAACTGTGACAATCCTATGTTCTCTTCCTGTATTTTTCCTCTTCCACAGTACCATATAAATGGAATCATATAGTGGGCTAATTTTGGAGACTATTTTTTCACTTTGCTTTATGCATTTGCAATGTATACATTTTTAATTCCCTTTAATCTATTGGTATCTTCTAAGTCTCATATGATTTGCCCTTTCTCCTGAATTCCAGACCTTTCATACTCAACTTTCCACTTGACAGAACCTTGCATTTGCCTTTCTCAATGTCTGTGGCGTCTTGTGCATGTTTGAATTTGTTAATCCTCTTTAATGTCTTGCCTTGAATTTTATTCTATAAGCTAGAAGGGAGTGGCATTGATTCCTCACACTCTTCTGCTTTCCAATCAGATTTAGATTTTTGGAAAGATGAGTAGGTTAAGAGAATGTCTTTAAGTGAGATTAAAAGTTAGTTTGGAAACTGTAGTAATGGCCCCGTTGAGAGGTAATGAAGGCCTATCTAAGCCCTCAGGACTGAGAGGAGGGTAGA